GGTATAGGAGGTTTTGTGGGCAAGGGGCTTGGACTTCCAGCAAGCGTGCATGAGCGTGTTAGATAGGAGTGAATGGAGACGAATGGTACTTGGGACCTGACGATCTGTTGGAGTGTGAGCAGGGTAATATTTAGTGAAGGGATTCAGGGAAACCGGTTATTTTCATATAGTCAGACTTGAGTCCTGGAAATGGGAAGTACAATGCCTGCACTTTAAAGGAGGGGTTTGGGATATTGGCAGTTTGGAGGGATATGTTGTGTATCTTTATATGTGTATGCTTCTAAACTGTTGTATTCTGAGCACCTCTGCAAAAGCAGTGATAATGTGCGAGTGTGGTGAAAGTGTTGAATGATGATGAAAGTATTTTCTTTTTGGGGATTTTCTTTCTTTTTTGGGTCACCCTGCCTCGGTGGGAGACTGCCGACTTGTTGAAAAAAAAAAAAAAAAGGTGGGTGGTGCATTGAGACATCTGTAAGGACAAAGAATGTTATCCATGGAGGTAAAAAGGGAAATGTTTCAGAATAAAGTGCTACTAACACTGTTACAGGTGTAAAGCATAGGTTTTAAACGTTGCAGCAAAGAAGAGGCTGGAGGAAGTGGAGATGTTGTGTCTAAGGGCAATATGTGGTAAGAATATTGTGCAGAGTATTCATAGTCTGGAGATTAAAGGAGGTGCTGGGTTACTAAAAGTATTATCCAGAGAGCTGAAGAGGGGTTATTGAGGTAATTTGGACATTTAGAGAGGATAGAGCAAAATGGGATGATTTGGAGGATGTATAAATCTGTAGTGAAGGGAAGGAGGGGTAGGGGTCATCCTAGGAAAGGTTTTGTTTGAAACAGGTGTATATGAGCATGTTAAGAGTGAGTGGAGGCAAGTGGTTTTTATGGCTTGACATGTTGCTGAGCCAAGAGTGAGATAACATTTTTGAAGGAATTCATGAAAACTGGTTAACCAGACTTGAGTCCTAGAGGCAGAAACTACAGTTCCTATACTTTGAAAGAGAGATGGGTATGTAGCAGTTTGGTGGGGCATCTGAGCTGTGATGTCAGCACACCTCTGGCAATACAGTGATGGAGTGAGTGATAGTGAAATTGCTTCTTCTTTTTTTTAAGTCACCCTACCTCAGTGGGAAACAGCTGGTGTGTTAAAAAAAAAAATCAAGAATGTAGTGACTGTTAATCTTCAACCTTTAGTTTGATGCTGGGGACAGGAGTTTAATCTGTAAAGAAAATGAGACCTCATCTGTGTGTCTAAATCACATCATGTGATGAGGCTTGATTCAAAGAAAGAAGCTAATCATTTGGAAATAAAAGTACCTTAGTTTATAAGAAATTGGTTAGCCTGGTCCATACATTATTTCAACAGCCATTCTCAAGTAGATTGTTCTTTTTGGCCTTTTGCTGTTGATTGGAAACAGGTACCTGTCGTGCTGTAGGTCATTGCTGCAATTTTTACATACATAGTAAAGACTAGAGGATTTGCACATGTATATTATTGCTGATCATAAAAATAATCACATTGCACAATGTAATGGAATACAATACATAGGAGGAGGAACAAATGTCAGGTAATCTTTGTGTGTGCTGAAGTAACAAGTGGTCACCATCAGCTGAACTGCTCATCAGAGATTGAGCTTTGATCAGGATACAGCCTCCACTATGACTTACTCTGAATTAATTTAGTGCCTCATTACTTGCACCAGTGTATTAAATTTATCGCCTGGGAAAATTGTTTCAAAATTGCTTGACCCCTTCGGTGTCAGTCCCATAATACAGTGGACCCCCGGTTAACGATATTTTTTCACTCCAGAAGTATGTTCAGGTGCCAGTACTGACCGAATTTGTTCCCATAAGGAATATTGTGAAGTAGATTAGTCCATTTCAGACCCCCAAACATACACGTACAAACGCACTTACATAAATACACTTACATAATTGGTCGCATTCGGAGGTGATCGTTATGCGGGGGTCCACTGTATTAGGTACTGAAATAATATTCAAATAGTCACAAAGACACAGACAGGTGAACATTTTCACCTGTCTTTGTCACATGCTATTGTCTAGATACAAAGTATTTATAGTCCTAACAATGTTTTAGACATGCTGAGGTATATATGAAACGCCTTGAAGCACGGTGTAAGACGAGTGTCACTTCACTGTTGTCAGTGCAGCAGTAGAGTGACACTTGATGATCGTGCACTGCTCCAGGGAACCCTGACTTTATTTGTTTTCACTGTTACACACAAACATATCTGTCTTTCTTTCTGCCCATGTGTGTTTATCTTCCTGTCTGCTTGTGTGTATCTGTCTTCCTGTCTCTGCTTGTCTCTCTGTCTCAGAGAGCTGCTCATGAACCAACAGGTATTACATATGATGCTGAGTCATCACATTTGATTCCTGATCAAGTGAAGATGTGTAATTTACACTATGTATGATAACTGTATAGGTTTCCCTCAACATTCACATTTTCCACTTTCGTGGGCTTCGAACATTCACAAATTTCCAGCCGCCCAATCTCATTTAAAATGTGTCATTACACAAGTTAGGAATTGTGGCGGTGGCAGAGTTTGTTTGGAGATAGGACAAGATAGTGCTTCAATATGACACTAATATCAACTCTACGGCTTATTTATCTATTACAATTCATCTAATATGACATAATAAACAATATTAATAACATAGAAACATGACATATACTTTAGATTGAATAAAATACATCATTAAGTATGTCACGAGTGTTGTTGCATTGTTGTTGTTGGGTGTATATGGGCGACTGAGAGCATAAGCCTTACATAGTGGTGGTGAAGGCAGTAGCAGAGGCATCAGAGATGGCTGTGTTGTCAGTCGCCCTATATAACTCCAACAACATTGGAGGAGTTAGGTTCGTGCTATTCGTTTTCTGTCCATTAATTGCTTAACTTACTTGCTACGCTGTTAATGCTACACTTTATCACTGGCTGGCACTATAGCCTTTATGGACTAGTGTTGCTTTATTATTATACATATCATAGAATCACTGAATCACTGAAGTAGGCACATTCTCCCCTCTCTCTTCCTCCTCCACTTTTGTATTCTGCTACAAGTTCTTTCTTGAATTCTGTAGTCTTTCTCACCTTTACCAAATGGCTGGCACTAGTACAATATTTTACAATGTTTTCTTGTGTTGTATGATTGTTCATGGTTCATTAGGTTAAGGAAGCAATATAGTTAGGCTAAGTAAATGCTATTATTATATTTCCCTACAATATATTTGTGCACCAAACATTCGCGATTTTTTAACATTCATGAGGTTCTTGATCCCCTAGCACTTGCGAATGTGGAGGGAGACCTGTACTTATGTTTACCTGTGAGAGAGATAGAGACAGAGGTAGACAGATACAGACAGAGAGACAGTCAAAGTAAGTCAGTCAGCCAGCCAGCCAGCCGGCCTGCCGAACATGTATTACACATGTTCCAGAATCGTTTCTCTTTACTTAGGGCATAGGTTATAGGACATTCTGGCAGGATGACACTACCAGTGGTATTAAATTTGATAGAATGTTGCACATGGGTTATTATCAAGGTTTTTGATATTTCCTCGACCACTTGTGGCCACATCCATCTCAAAGCCACTAAACTCAGGGTCAACATCACTTTCCTCTTAAAAGGGAAGTGTTAATACGACATGACATCAGTGAATCCATGGTGTCTGCCATACTGTTTGCTCTAGCTTGTCCTCAATTGAACTGGTGCTCCCACAGTGGTACCAGATATTTTTAATACTGTGCACACTGAGTGTTAACCATTTGACTGTTTCGGTCGTATATATACGCCTTAGGAGCCACCATGTTTGACGTGTATATACTCAAAAATTCTAGCAGCTTCAAATCAAGCAGGAGAGAGCTGGTAGGCACACATGTGAGAGAATGTGTCTGTGTGGTCAGTGTGCACCATATAAAAAAAATCCTGCAGCATGCAGTGTATAATGAGTAAAAAAAAACTCCGACCATTTTTTGGATTAAAATGCTGACTTTGTGGTGTATTTTCGTATAGTATTTATGGTTGTATTCTCGTTTTCTTGGTCTCATTTGACAGAATGGAAAACATATTATAGAAATAGAGGTGATTTTGATTGGTTTTACTATGAAAAGAACCTTGAAATGGAGCTCAAAGTAGGGGAAATGTTTGATTTTTGCCGATGTTCAAAAGTAGACAAATGATGTCATTGCCCAATAAATGTCCAACTAGCCATTCTAATATGCAGTCATGAATGGGTTGACATTATTTGTACAATTATTACAATATTGAGGTAGCCTGCATAACAGTAAATCTTCTGTTTTTTGTTTGAATAAAAATTCAAAATAGAAAGCAAGAATAATATCAGGGGGGCCTGGAGACGTGACTGATGAACAAAGAAAATGATATTTTAGAGCCAGGAATGTCTGCATTGTTCTTTCTGGACCCTATTTTGAAATTGGCATATTTTTTAATTTGTGTGAAATTGGCCAAATTGCAAATTTCTGATCATGTTATTGGGTAGTTGAAATTGGTCCACTGGAACAATGGAATTAGCCGAAAATATGGCTCATGGTGGGCGAAATCGTTGATTTGTAAGTATCGCTGAGGTCGCTGACTTCGCGAGAGCGTAATTCCCTAAGTTTTCCATCAAATTTTGTTCTTTTGGTGTCATTACCACCGGGAAAAAATTCTCTATCATTTCATTAGATTTTTTTTTTTTTTTTTTTTTTTTTTTAAAATTTTGACACCAGAAGACACCTCAGGATGTGGGATTTCAACAGTCAAGGGGTTAAGACCCATTCTATACTGACCAGGCATCTCGGGCCAATTGTGCAAAATTTGGAGGCAGGAAAAATAAAACGATGTACGTTTTGAGAGCTACCAGTAACAATGTAGATCTACGTTTGGATAGTTTAAGGGTTAATTAGTAATTTTTAATAAAGCTCATTAAAATAATGATGAACATTTTCCACTAATAGGTTATGATTTCTGCTCTCCTACAGTAGTAACTCCATCCCTTCAAATATATTCTCAACTGGAGGAACATCCTTCGGTACAAATACTTTTAACGTTGGAGGTACCACCGTCAGCTCTTCATTTGGCTCGAAACCTCTGTTTGGAAACACATCTTCATCTGCCTTTGGAAACCCCACAACCTTCAACACCAGTGCTTCAGGGACCCAGCAGTCTACTATGCCATTTTCCATCAGCTCACCTTTTAGCTCTAAGCCTTTTGGTAAGTTGTATAATTTTTGTTTGTAAACCTAGTAGTTGACTTTTGATAGACTTTAAGTTATTCTTTGATATAGAATGAATAAGTATGATGTACCATAGAATGAACCTAGATTGTATTTTCATGTGTTTTCTGCTGGAATTTTTTTTTTTTTAGCTCAGTTAAAACTTTGCAGATATTTAGTGCTTTATTCATAACAGATTTTACACAGTACTGTGAATCATTCATTATCTGCTGAATAATGGATAAACTTTTATTGAAAATTATAATTAATATTATTTAGTACCCTGCAGAATGCTATACTGACAGACAGAAAAAAAAAGTTATTTTCTTTGTTGCAGAATACTCATTTTTACAAATGAACAATACACTGGCTTCTTTAACATAGTGTTCTAGGTGTCATACTCTTACCAGATTGTATTACTTGTGCTACTAAATTGGTACACTACGTATTGCTTTCCTGCATAAGAACAGAGGAGCAATGCAGTAGGTGTACTGACATATACTAGGCAGGTCCTAGTCTCAGCCATTATTCCCACTTGCATACAGCTCTGTTGTCAAACTACATATTGCTTTTCTGCATAACAGAGTCGATCTACTGTCACCTGCTAAGTAGGTCCTACTCTCAGCCAGTCACTTATACTCATACACAACTTTATTGACAATTACTTTCTTGTTGTAATAGGTTGTATTAGACATTTTAAGAGGATAGAGTAGAATAGAATGACCTGAGGGTGTATGAATCTGGGGTTGAAGGAAAGGGAGGGGGTTGTTTCAGGAAAGTTTCGAGGAAATGGGTAAAGGTAGTTTAGTGTGTTAATGGCTTGAGCATCCATGAAGCTTGTGTGTGTATGTTAGAATAAAGTGAGTGGTAATAAGTATTCATTTTATGGCTTGACATACTATTGGCGAGTGAGCAAGGTAACATTTGTAAAGGGATTCAGGAAAATAGGTTAGCTGGACTTGAGTCCTGGAGGTAGAAAGTACAGTGGAACCTCGGTTGTCGATTTCATTACCTGTTGAACAAATCGAATGGGGAATTCGAGAAAAAATGTTCTAGTTTTCATACGTGCTCTTGGTTGTCGATAGACAACACGAATGGGACAGAGCAGCTCGGATCACGTGCTCAGAGAATGTGCACTGGACAATGAGTCAACAGCATAGGTCTGAGTCAGTATAGCCACTAACTCTCATACTGTAAACATCTCTTGAGCTTTTGTTGTACATCTTGTGAACTTTTTTGTTATTTTGCAGTTTTGGTGCAATTTTTTTTGTGAGATAAGCCTGAAGATTAGCCTGAGCTGGTAGAGGATATTTTGTCCCAGGGAAAGATCTTGGGCCTAGAGGCGACTGAAGATGATGTGGAGGAGTTGGTGGAGGAGCATACAACTGAACTCACCACAGAAGAACTTGTAGACCTTCAGAAGGAGCAGCAACAGATTGCAGCAGAGGATCTGTCATCAGAGGAAGAGAAGGGAAGGGATGATGCTCCCATTACACTTGTGAAGGAAATGTGTGCTAATTGGCGTGAAGTGCAGGAGTTAACTGAAAGATACCAGCCAGACAACGCAGTGGCCATCCATCTTTTTAACACGTACAGTGACAGTGTAATGTCTCAATTTAGACAAGTGTTAAAACAGAGCCTGAAACAAACTTCACTGGACAAGTTTCTAGTGAGACAAAGAACCATTGAGCTAGAACAAGGTGTTAGTGGTGAAAAGAGACAAAGAAGAGAAACAGCACCAGGAGAGTTGCCTGACTCTCCTTCCAAGCAGTAACATATCCCCTCCTCTCCTCCACCTCCTGCTTCCAGTATGCCATTAGCTCTCCTCTGACAGGTAAGAGGCAGTTAAATTTTCATTTACTGTACAGTATTTCAGTTACATTTTCATTCAGTATTCATTTTTACAGTTTCCCTGTGCTGTATAACTTTATACATTGTCTTATGTAGTAGTTAGTACATTATTAATTAATTACCATACTGTCATTTGGGGTCTAGAACGGATTAATTCTGTTTACATTATTCTTTATGGGAAAAATTGCTTTGGTTATCGTCAATTTTGGTTGTCGAATCGATATCTGGAATTAATTAAATTCGATAACCGAGTTTCCACTGTACAGTTTGCCCTGGTTTTTGTCGAATTTGGTTTTTGACAACTTTTCATCAAAATTTTGTCCCAGTTCTCGTTCATCACCTCGGTTTTCATCGGTCTGCTGTACCGAATGTGTCCACCTGCCTGCGCCCACACGAAGCATCCCACGCTTTCTGAGTCAGTCTGTGAGCATTACCCTGCACATTCATCCAAAACATTTTGTAATCATTGCTTTTTGTGCTTGTTTATTGAGTGCAACTGCTAAATAAGCCACCATGGGGCCAAAGAAAGTTCTGAGTGCCAGTCCTTTGATAAAGTAAGAGAGAAACACAAAAGAATTCAAGAAAGAACTCGTAGCAAAGAACGAAAGTGGCATACGTGTGGTCGATCTCACCAGGATGTATGGGAAGTCCTCATCTATGATCAGTTCCATCCTGGCAATGAAAAAAGAAGTCAAGGAATCAGATGTTGCTAAAAGGGTAAATGTGCTAATAAAACAGAGATCGCAAACAATCAAAGATGTTGAGAAGTTGTTGATGGCATGGATCAGCAAAAAACAGTTAGCAGGAAATAGTGTTGTGGAGGTGATAATTTGCAAAAAGGCAAGGCAGTTGCATGCGGATCTTGTAAAGAAAATGCCTGGAATAAGTGCTGCTGTTAGTGAATTTAAGGCCAGCAGAGGCTGGTTCGACAAATTCAAGAAGCGATCTGGCATACACAGTGTGTTAAGATATGGCGAGGCTGCAAGTTCGGACAAACATGTGCCTGATGAATTCAAGGTATACGTAGAGGCTGAAGGATTCCTCCCCTAACAAGTCTTCAATTGTGACGAAACAGGCTTCTTTTGGAAGAAAATGCCAAAGATGACCTACATCATGCAGGAGGAAAAGGCACTACCAGGACACAAGCCTATGAAGGATAGGCTAACTCTTTTGTTCTGTGGTAATGCTAGTGGGGATTTTGAAGTGAAGCCTTTACTGGTGTATCACTCTGAAAATCCCCGAGTTTTCAAGAAAAACAATGTCATCAAGAGTAAATTGTGTGTGATATGGAAGGCTAACAATAAGGCATGGATTTGAGGCTGACCCTGACAATCCTACGCCTGTTGTGGAATTTATTGTGGCTTTGGGGAAGTCCATGGGGGTTGAATGTGAGTGGCCAGGATGTGGAAGAGTTGGTGGATGACCACAGGGAAGAGCTAACCAGTGAAGAGTTGCAACACCTTCAACTGGAATAGCATCAGATCGTAGCTGTGGAAATTGCTTCAGAGGAGGAGGAAGAGAGAGGGTAGAATGTGCCTTCTTCATTGATTAAGGATGTGTGTACTGTAAAGTGGAGTGAGTTGCAAAGTTTTGTGGAGAAATATCACCCTAACAAAGCTGTTGCAAGCCATGTCTGTAACACGTTCAGCGACAATGCCTTGTCCCATTTTAGGCAAATCTTAGAGATGCCAGAAACAGACCTCTCTGGACAGGTTTTTTGTACCAGTAAAAGACAAAGAAGGTGAGTAACCTCGGATAGGGACTTGATACCTGGGTTAAAGGGGATTCCCCTTCTAACCAATAACCTCTCCTCCTCCCTCTACCTTCCTTGTGTCTTTCATACACCAACAAGAGTCTTCAGTAAAGGGAAGAGTGATATTAAATGTTCATTTATCCATTTCATTAGCCCTTTATATTTATTTCTCAATGTTTTCTGTATGTAAAACTATAGTTATTCTCTATAAAATGTATTTTTTTGTTAATACAAAACAGATTAATTGGATTTACATTATTTCTTATGGGAAATATTGCTTCAGTTTTCGTTGAATTCGGTTTTCGTCATACTTTCCAGAACGAATTAATGACGAAAACCGAGGTTCCACTGTATAGTCCATACACACTAAAGGAGAAATGGGAATGTTGGAGTTTGAAAAGTCATTTGAATTGTCCTGCAAATGTCTGGCAAGACAGCTCTTGAATCAGTGAAAGTGAATGTTTCTATTTTTTTGGAATTGCTGTACTTCATAGGGAAATAGCTAGTGTGTTAAGAAAATGGGAATACCACCAAGTTATATTTGATAGAAAAACACAAGGAGCAGCTGGAAACTTTATTTAGGTAATGTTACGTCTGCTCAGCAGGTTTCTTCACTATTGATCTCAAAAAACTTACTTTACAGGCAAAACATTATCTTAAATTTTGTTTAAATTTTCTTTTGCTGCTTGTGTGTCTTTATCAGTTTCAACGTAAGTTTCCTGCACTCGCTCATGTAATAAAAGTTCTACTCTTAACCACCCATTTCCACTCCAAATCAGTGCTCTCTTGTATAAAAAGAATACATACGTAATACAGTCAGCTTACTGACCCATTCTATGCATATCCTACTCTCACCTATTCATTCTCATAGATATATGTCAAACATTTTTAGCAGTAGATGTATCAGATTGCATCTCAGAAGGGTGGAGCAGCCCAAGTTAACTCCATCTTGCATGTACCACCAAGGTAACCTGACCTGACAGAAAAGAAAACATTTTCACTGTCATTCATCCAATCATTATCTTGCCAAAAGGGTGCCGACATCACAGTTCATATGATCTTCCAAGCTCACTCGTCATATCTTCCAAACACACTCATCATGTGCTCCTCAAATTGTAGTCATCTAAACATTGAAGGTTATGATAAGTTTACCTCTGACATGCAGTGACATGGTAGTGAATACAGAAATAAAGGAGTTGCAGATGAGATGCTTAGCATATCTACCCAAAACTGAACTTGAAGCAATGGATTCATCTTGGATAGATTCAAATATAAAGATAATCAGGAATGTGAGGGTGAGGTTCTGTCAACAAATTTTCCAGAAAATAAGAAATATTCATAACTAGGCTTTCTCAACTTATTAATCTCACTACAAAGAGTTTTGGAGTGAGATCA